TTATCCAAACAGAGAGTAATGCTTTTTTGTAAGCTTTTTTTCGCTCAACAAATTGCAGTGTGTGGTGGTGTGGGTGTGGTTTGTTTTTGCTTGGAACCCATGGGTTCCTTGGTTCCGTGGCCAAATAAAATTGGGAAACACTGTGCTAGATGATATTGACCTTGCCTGGTTCGGCAAATTCTCTGGTTCAGCACTGATCAGGCCCCCAAGGTGACACACTAGAGAGGTTCAACCTGTACCAATAGGTGCATTTCCCCTCAGCTGTCTGCCTATGGCTGCCCCCCCTCTGTGAGCGAGAACCACTTGCTTGTGCGTGAGAGATTGCTTTCATGCACCCAGGACACGAGAGCTGCGTGTGAATACCCAGTCTGTGTCAGGACGTGGATCAATGGGTGGTTGGGCTGTCGTTTGTGGCACTAGACCGAGGCTCTGAGCGTGTGAATTTTACACTAACATACACGTCCAATCTGATATTTTTTCTAGGGGGTGTCATGCAAAGACTGTAGTAGTGCATCAGGCTCTGATCTTGTGAGCTGTGCTTGCCCCCCGCTTGAGCTGTCCTGTGTTTGTAGCAGGAGGCCAGTCCAGAGGCTGCCAGGAGGGGTATTGATTGAGGATACATGGCGCACTACCCTGGGACTTGGTGTGGGCCAACTTCCCCATGAGCTGTTCAGAGACTCGTTCTTGTGGCGGCTTCATCTTTCAGACAAGATGTAAAATAGGGATGTGTAAGATTGTTGAAAATGTAACTGTGACACCACTAAAAACCTTGGCGGTTACACACTGCAGGCCCTACAGCCCTCCGGCCCTGCTCCTGGGGAGACAGCCTGTAATCTGTGGCAGAGGGCCAGCCATGCCACGGACCAGGCTGTTCTGATGGGGCCTGCGGGGTACAGTACCCCCCTGCCTGGGGCAAATGGGGAGCTGCTTTATCCCCTACTGGTCAAATGGAATTGTTCAGGGTGACTTGCCAGTTAACCATTTTACATCCCTAATGTAAAATCAAGCCTTTGGTTTCTTTTGACTGTTACACTTCCAATAACACTTGCAGATTTGTTAACCTCTGCCCTGGCCGGATTTCAGCTTGGGCGATTAACCTCTGTTTACCTGAATTTGCCTGGTGGCTGTAACTACAGGTCACACATTCCTGATTGCCCTGCTGTGTGTCCGTGCACAGCTGGCCACGACGTCCAGTGGGAGGCAAGGGAGCGCATGGGCTGGTGAGAGGGCCTGTCTCAGTGACTAAACCGTTTTGAAATCCATCAGGATGAATGGTACCATATGCTGCAAAGATGCAGAATACATCTCTCCCCTCTCTCTAAGGCGGAGATGGTGCAAAATGGCAGGAACAGTGTTGTTGAAGCTTGTGTCCAGCAACTGCTTTCTCCCCCTTTGGGACAGAGGCTTTTGAAAATCACGAGATCATTTTCCTTCTAAATTGCAAGGCCTGTTTGCCCTTGAAGCACAGATCTGACTGTGATGGATGCTTCTGATAAATGCCTGGACAGAAGCCAGCTGGAGCTAGAAGAGCTGGAATGGAACTTGGCTTCTTGATCCTAGGCAGGGCTATGGGGTGTGATTGCTCTGGGTTGTGCTGTTGCATGGCATCCATCATTTTAACACAAGGTGGTGCCTTTGCCTCAACTTCATTGCTTGGGAAGGAGTAGAGCAGTGATGGGTAACGTAGGTTAGTGAGTGGCCCTCCTTTATCTCAACAGGTCGCAGGATGGTTGTAACCAAGGTCTTCCGGGAGGGGGTAGTTTTGCTAACTGCACTTGCCTATCTAAAATTTGCGGGAGGTGCGGATTGAAACGTGCAGCGCTGTGATTGGATGCAGAGGGAGCGCACAGCTCTCCGCCAATGTTGTGTGCAATCAACACTCACCTCGTATGTGGGTGTCACTTCAGTAATTCTGGTAGGGGGGAAAAAAACTATGTGGCTGGAGACCAGCAGAATCCGGCAATCCTGTGCGTGGCAAGAGGAAGCAGAATGTCTCCGATGGGCCACGAGTTGCCCAGCGCTGGAGTGGAGTGAGCATCCGGACTAGCTGGATTGGCTCTATCTCCCTTTTGAATGAGTGTGTGCAACGTGGAAGCGGCATAATGGGCAGAGCTTTCAGCGGGAGCAAAAACTGTTGCTCTCAGTAACGTTTTATCCCGTGTTTTTTATAATGAACGCACTAGAGGGATCCCCCAGCGCTCTACTTCCAGGAGTGTGTCCACACAGTGTTTTGGAGCAAGCCACCAGCCTGGGCAGACGGATTTGGGTTAGTGGCTCGCCAATACCTGTACAGACAGTGCTTTGAAGTTGCGGTGAAGCCCACCTCTGCTTAAGCTTCGGCGCCCACACGTGAGGCGGGAGGGTCCCAGGACCCAAGCTCCCACTGGCGTTTGGCCATCTAAACCTCAGTTAAACAGCCCTATAGGCCAAGCCCATGTTAGCTGACCTGGGCCAGTCGTGAGTGTTTGATTGCAAGGTAGATGTGGCCAATTCGCTGGCACGTTGCCGGCGGCAGGGGAGGACGTAATCACTTAATTGGTACATGGAAGAGCAAAGCATGTCGGCCCTGCTTACATGATGGGGGACTCGATCCTGGGAAGCTGTAACTCTGAAACTGGTTGGGGGCTGTGGTGGGTTTGTGGGATCCTGAGATACATAAGCGTAGGCATCTCAAGGTTATTTGACTTCTGTATTGGGCACTGGTGTGACCGGCGTTGGAAGCCTGTGTCCTGGTCCGGGCTCCCAGCTCAAGAAGGATGCTCATAATTAGGAGAGGGACCAAGGCAGAGCCACAAGAACGCTGAACAGTTAGAAAACCTGGCTTCCCGTGATAGACTCAAAGAGCTTAGACTATTTAGCTTAACAAAGAAGAGGGGGGTGACATGATTACAGTCTTTAAGTCTCTGCATTGACAACAAATACCGAATGATGGGCTTTCAGGCTGGAAGCTGACAGTAGACAAATTCAGACTGAAAATAAAGGGTAACTTTGTAACAGTGGGAATTATTAACCATTGGTGCCATTTACTAAGGGCCATGGTGGAGTCTCTGCTACTGACCATTTTTAAATCCCGGTGGAAGGCTTTTTCAGAAGATCTGCTCTGGGAATTATTTTGGGGACATTCTTATTTTGCCCGTGTCATACAGCAGGTCTGGCTAATTTAGTGTCTCTTGAACACGCCACCGTTGCAAAGACCTGACTACTCCCCCTTCTAATCAACTTTGTTGCTACTTTGTGCACCGTAGGCTCAGGTGTCCACCGAGTTTTGGATTGGCAGAATGCCT